TATACATAGAGGCTGGGTCCTCTTTTGGAATATCTTTTAATGAAAAGTCATGTTATTTGCAGTCTCCAGCCATGCACTCATCTTCTTGATCTAGTCAAATGTTGCCAGAACCTACTCCTTCAGGATTATTAGTGATAATATTGACATTTCCTCGTGCTGGGATTAGTCTAATGAATTGAGGAGCAGCAGGTGAACTAGAGCAAACATGGCTGTGCTTTGACAGGATGTAGCACTCTTTCTTGTGAGGAGATGGTGTTGGCTTTGCCATATATAATGGCACACAACATAGCCACGAGTCATCCAGTGTCAACAGGTCACTAGAGAGAGCCGGGCAGTCCCGCAGGTCAGCTGTTCGAACGGCAGGTTGGTTGAATATTCGCAGTAGGCCGAGGGGAAGAAAGGGAAATCCTTGTGTACGTTATGTAAATATTTAATGAGATCTCAGTGGCCTCCCTGTCAGACTGGCATTTTATCTCTCTGTCTTTTTCCCCTCTCCTTTTTTTTCCTCTCTTACTCTCTTCCTGCGTCTGTCTCTTGTTCTGTCACTTTCTCTGGCTGGTTGTCAGGTATTTAGCCACCGCGGCGGTAAGTGTGGACTTTGGTAATCCAGGCTGCTGCATGCAGCTTTGTGCCATTCACTTGCTGCCTGCCAATCACCACAGGGCCTCTTCTCCTCACAATCCTGCCTTAAACGGACAGAGCCAAGCCTGGACAATACAGCCTAGTGATGTGTCATTTCTGGACGAGTTGGCTTTTGGGCTGGCACTTTTAGGGCCTCATTATGCTTGACTATAACCACTGCATATGTGTGCATATATTGCGGCATTGTTTACAGGCTTGTCTTTATACCTTTTGTCTATCCGGAGATTTAAATGCTATATCCACTAGGAGGCATGTCAGAACCAAAACATCCCCTGCTGGCACGAGAATGCCTTTCTTGATTACTTCTGATTTAGTGTAACAATATCAACAATGAGCATGATAACAAAGTAAATCAAAAGAGACTTTGTAGAGAGAAACAGGTGGCAGAAGTGGCTGTTGTCTTTGTTTGGTCAGTCAGCTGCAATCTTGTGCACACATAAGCATAGTAGAAAGCAAGTATACTGCCACCCTTCTACAGAGGAGCGACCTTTGCACCACTCAAAGATAGGCAGCCATCAAGGGCCCCCATAAGCCAGAGTCCCCAATAAAATACCAGTTAAATGTACTGTGCATGTTGACATTAAATAACTTGAAATTCTGAAATTTTTATACTTTTAAAAATAGCTATTTTTTGCAATTGTAGTGATTATTGTCAGTCATTTCAATGCAATATTCTACATTATGGAGAAGAGTGTGATTCATTACTGTGATTTTCTAAGCGTTGAGAGAAAATCAAGTAAAGACATCTAAGTACAGCAGAAAAAAAAACACAAAAATTGAGACGAAAACCAAAGCTAACTTCAGTCTGAATAGAGTGCTGTACAGGCTCAGCAGACTGTACATAATGCTGGCGTTAAAGTTAGTACAGATAGATCCAGAAAAAAAAGTTATTATCCATTACAAGTTCCTTCTCTCAAATATAATGGGATTAAAATATTTATTTATTCTATGCTACTCTGTATGAAAGTAACATAGAAGTAATAAATAGTTTCAAGCATATTTCTTAACACAAGCAAAATTATCTGACAATATAGTGATTGAATTAATAAAGTTAAATAAAACTTCCTTGACCTAAGTTAAATAATCTTATAATATACTTACAACAATCTCAAAATGAGAAATATTAGATATATTAGATATTAGATATTAGATAGATTTAAAATAGCATTTTTTTTGCAGATGGTCGGACCACTCAGAAGACCGCTAATTTTACAATGAGCATCCAGGGGGCCTCATTCCTGTCTTTGTTTAGGGCCCCAGAATCACTAAATCTGCCCCTGCTTAGATAGATCCTATTCTGCTCTCGCTGAAAATGTTAATCAGGTAGAACTTTGATCAAAATGCATCTGCATCTGACAGTATTACAAAACAATCTAGAGTTAAATCTGTAAAACTGTAAAATGTGTGTTTGAGCCTGGCCTGTGTGGAGCCTAAGCAACATGAGCCCTAGGGTCTGACTGCATTGCTTCTTGTTATGATGATATAGTGTCTTGATGGCTTTATATTTAAATAGTTTTTTCTAACAAGCACATTGTTACTGTGCAAAAAAACAAAGCAGAAAAAAACAAGTATCTCCAAAAAGGTAACTTTACAGGAGAAGACAAAACGATCTTCACTCTTAAGGAATGTAAAAAGTTTTTTTTTTGGAGCATTTCTATTGATCCGTTCATCATGACATTTCACACAATGTAAAGGACAGCTGGAAAACTAAGAAGGGAAAAAAAAACTGTCAATCACAGGTCATAACATAGCAAACTTTGGCTGTTGAACAAAGAGCTGTTTAAGAACCGAATGGGCCGTCTCTTATAGGTGAGCTGAGTCAATTGATCTGAGTCACTGAAAGGAGCTGGAATGCCCATCACTAGCATGGCCAGAGGAATAACACAATGACAGAAAATAGTCATCCTCCGGGCTTTGCGAGAGACTATCACAATGAAATGAAATGTCAAAGAGAGCCAAGACAGCGGCAGGAGTATTGCCATGATGGAGGAAAGCAGTTTGTTGTAATAAAAATGTTTCGTTTTTGAGATGTTTTGTAAGAGCAAGTGTTGCATCCCTTTCTCCGTGCAGTAGGAGAAGGAGCTCTGAACTCCTTTGTGATTCCATCATGTTAGGGGGAAGGAAGCAGCCATGCGTGAGCCAAGCAGCTGGTTTCATTAACCTCCTGTCCAACCCTGGAGAGAGGGAAGCAGGGCGAGGCGATGTAAATGGTGACCTTCTAAATATGCAGCCAGACACGTGCCACTGAACACTTCCCTTCGCCTGCAATTTATAGACAGGGCAAAAAGAAAAAAGCAGTAGTTGCAGTGAGGAAACTGGGCCACTTGAGTCAACAGTTGAATCACCTTGGCAAAAAAACTGACTTTGAGTGCCTGTGGCGCAAATTTGCTTGGGGTTTGTTCATAGGCAGCGTGACATGGCCAGTTGTCTGTTTGTACACTCACAAACACACACAGAGCTTCCAACATTCTTTTCAACAGAGCTAGACAATGCAGTGTCACACAGAAAGCTAAGATATTACACACAGCTGCAATTTTGAATACACACACTAATTTTGATTCTAATGCTTTTTACAACAAATCATAGATACAGTTTCAGGAGTTTAAAGAAAGCACTTTCTTTAGCATTAGGCGGTCGACAAGCAGACTACTGATTTAAATGTTTTCAAAGTGGACCTCTTGGGTCACCTTTGGTTTAGAAAAAAGGGATCATTATTACATAGGTATGTTTCTAAGAGTATATTTTTGTAGTATTAACTCTTAAAAGTTATCGCAGATGAAATTCAACATTAATTAATCTCTTACCAGTAATGCATTACAGCAAATGAAGACATTCTGTGAAAAGTGCTGATTGTGATACAATATACCATGTTTGTGCTTGTAAATAGATGGTTTTTTAATTATCATCACAAAACAAGGTCATGACTGGAGACTCAAACTTGTCAACACAGAATGTAACCAAAATTAAAAGTAATCATAATTCATTAAGTAATTAATTATGTAATTATGTTTAAATTAAATAGCAAATTAATAACTAGAAATGCCATATTGGTATCAACAGTATCAGTTTTAGGCCAATATCAGCAGAAAATGCTGGATAGCATATTGGCAGCGGGGAAACTTTCAGGCCTTCAGACAAGGCTTAATGATTTATGTGGGGGTAAAAAAGTCTGTAATTTTAATTCATTTTTATTTGATATAATCCTGATTCTTGTATTTAAACAACTCTAGTAATACTCGTTTCATTGTTAAGTTTTGGTTGGAATGTGGTGTCACATTCTTGAAATTCTCTATGGAAAATCCAATCCAATCCAATATCCAATCAGGATATTTTTTTTCTTTGAGGTGTCTAAGCAGATACAGCCAAGCAAGTTCTCTCATTGGTTCAGGAGCTGAACAGAAGGCCTAACATTAGATCAACACCTGACATAATTAGGAAGTGACATTTGAATCAACCAATCATATTTTGATGCACAATAGGTGAGACCAACTTATAGAGAAAAAAGATCACTCTTGGGCTTCTGTAAGTCCTAGTTACATCACTGACTGTGAATATGAGCCATAGTCTAAACAAACGTGTTTCAGTCTGATTTTAGAAATGGAAAACAGTGGCAGTAGTACTATGCCAGAACTCTTCACTGAGACACTGTGAAACCTGTACAAGGCAAAATATATGTCTGTTTCAAGCTTCAAATTAAACACGGAAAATCTTTTACAAGACTGGAATATAAGTGTTTATAACAGCCAAATATTCAAAAGAATCTCTATTAGCTTAGTAGTAACATATTACTAAAATATCATGGCGGTGCTAGCAGAAATTAGCATCATTATAGAGGTGTTCTGAATATTGACATTTATTGCCCTAAGAGAAGGCTTTGCTCTCATAGTCATGGTTTGCCACTGGATATTGGAGGAGGAAAAAGAATGAATCAGATCTAACCCTGTAACAAATCTATCATGAAATAGCACACACATACAACATCACATCTGTGTGATGTGATGTTATTAGCTGTGTACTTCTTTCTGTGGGGTAACAGAGTGTTTGAGTAGTCTGAGCATGATTGCCTACTTTTAGATGCTAATCCGAAGTGAGATTCTCCAATTAAAGGTTGCTCATTTTAAAACTCAGTATTTTTTGTAAATAAAAAACATTGGCTAGATATTACGACTGAAAGGAAAAAAATATTATATCGTGCCATCTCTAGTAATAAGTAACTTTAGCCTTCTAAAGGTTAAGTAAAGTATACATGAAAGTCATATTTCATCTATTTCTAATTTCCTATTCCTTTTCAAAAATGTAATGAAAATTGAATCTGACTGTTTTATTCTGTTTTTTATTTTTTCACCCTTTCTGATCAGAGAGCTGATCTGGCTGTAGCTCCCCTGACCATCACCTTTGTACGGGAGAAAGTGATTGACTTCTCCAAGCCCTTCATGAACACGGGGATCAGCATCCTGTACCGCCGGCCCAACAGCACCAACAGCGGCTTCTTCTCCTTCCTCAACCCCATGACCCCTGACATCTGGGTCTACATCCTGCTGGCTTACCTAGGCGTGAGCTGTGTCCTTTTTGTTATCGCCAGGTGAGTGAAACTGAAAGTGAGCGTGGAAAAAAATCTTTATTGCTCATAACCCTTTGAAATACCTCAGCGAGTGAGATTTGAGCTTACAGACGAAAGGCAAGCTGATGTGCGAATCCTCACAGCTCTGCTGTGCTGAAGTGCTGAGGAAATAGAAGAGCAGTGAGACTGCCTCTCGCAGGACCTTACTCCCCCGGGTAGCCATTGTTGCTGACACATTGAGCGCCATGTGAGGAGTGGTGCTCGAGTTAATTTTGGAGGAAATGAGCGATTGGCTGGGCTGCGAGTTTCAAGAGGTGGCAGCTGCTCTCATCGGGTCCTTTTTTGTCTTTGGACACATTTCCTTTCAATACTCCTCCGAAAACATACAAAATGCAGTTTTGCAGGAGTGCCATTATTTTGTCTGCTGGGCTATTAGGTGGTCAGTAGCCTCAATTTCAGCCAGCAATACTGCCTGGATGTGATGCAATACTATAACACAGAGTTTTTCCGTTTTGAGGAGGGAGAAATGTGCTTCAAGTTGGAGTCAGTTATTTCCTTCAAGTGAATCAAAATAGTCACACAGGCATGGTGAGGCAGAAGGTAATACTGTCAGTTAAACCCTTTTTTTCTGGAGCACATGGTGTGCGTAACCAATCAGATTTTCTCAACTCGGCTCCACAGTGACATTTTACAGGATCCAGGTGTTTTGCGCGAGACACAGTGCAATCAGGAGTAGGTGAGCGGTGTGAAGTAGGAGAGTCTTTACAATTGGTGATGTGGCATTTGTGAAACTGCTTCTGTGCTCACACACTCTGAGTAACAGTGACATGACGCGGCACACAGGTTCACTGAAAGGCTTGGGAAGAAATTAAAGTATGCTTCAGTCTTAAAGGGCCTGTATCATGGTAAAACTGATTTTCTTCCCTTTTGTGAAATTAAAGAGCTTGATGTACTATGTAAATATTGTTACACTAGTAGTTTAAAATGTATACCCTTCACTTCCCCATCCCTACAGTCAACATATAGTATGTATCTGTATATGTGCAAAAAACAATATATTTACATATATACACCCATTCAGCCTACATTGCCTCTTCACACTGAAGGAATAAAGAGTGTTTCAGCCCAGACTGCTTATTGAATAAGGCTCAATACAGGACAGCCAATCAGAGCAGAGCTCATTTTACACACAGTCAAATGCAAAAGTCTGGGTGCCCCTGGTCATATGACATGTTTTGTTGCATACACATAAGTACCATTCTCTACAGAGAACACACTTCTGCGTGTTTAAATGCACAATTACTGTTCATTTGCTGAATTAGGAACAAACATTAAATGTAGCCTGCACAAAAGTTATGGCATAATTTAAATTTTGTTGATTTTTTTTCCAATATGTTAAACTCTGCAAAAAAATAGAAATCGTTCGCTAAGATTTGAAGAAAAATACCCTGTTTATGTTGTATACTATAGAGAATATGTTGACTTATTTCCACTCAGAAAATCAATAAAACATGTCACCAGGTGTGTTAACACTTTTGCATATATCATATCATACATAAAGCAACAGTAACAAAAACAGCTTGCTTAAAGGGGAACTTCAGAGTAATTCCTAGTTCGTAATAATTTACTAATTCCACTGCAGTATAAATAGAGTCATTCTGAGTGGTTTATTGTGAAATGGTTCATTGAAGAGAAAGTTACATTTTTCTTTATAGTGGTGCTGAGGGGAACCAGGGTTGCCACCCACAGCTCAATACAGTCATTTTATTTACTATCCAAAACCACCATTGAACTGGATTCAAATAAATGGATTAACAAGTCATTTTAGCTCAAAACTTTATTACAAAACTATCATAGAACAATGTCTCAGGCATCAAACAGCATATTCCTAATGGTTTAATGTAATAACTTCCTGTGAGGGAGCTTTTAGAGACATTAAACTCAGATGTCTGGTTTCTTTCTCCACCACTGTGAACAGTTCTGACTCGGTAAGTTTATCTAGAAAGGAGCATTTCATACCAAACAACTCTGAATTATTTTGTTTACATCTTAACCATTAAATTATGTTAAAATAAAAAAAAAAATGGTGAATTCCCCTTTAATTCTAAAGAATTAAAAGGGGTTGGAAAATGATCATGTAAAAATTATCATGTGAAAAATCAATGATGACTGAATTTGGTACTTACAATCACAAACCTTATAAGTGGACCTCAAGTGGTAAAAATAATAAAATATAAGAAAAAGCAGGATATGGGTAATTTAAACTGCCAGCATTACATAGACACACAAAACAACTGGATGCCTAAGACTTAAATGTATTAATGTTATAGTGCTACCATAGTCACTTCTGTAGCCTGTCTTCCAGTGCTTACTTTAACATTTAGTCAAAACCAAAAATGTTCATGTTCATATACCACCTGCTGCTTTGAAGAAAGACCCTTAGGAGATCTTCAAAGCTTATTGTGCACATTTCACACACCATACAAAGCGCTCTGAGGCCTGAGCGCGAGTGTGAGACTGCCTGAGGTCAGGATGCTCTGCTTCTCTTCAGCAGTCATGACACAGAAAAAAATGAAGATTATCTCAAATGACGATTATTGATGCTGACATTTTGGGGTCAATGGTTTTTGGTGAAACGTATATAAAACTACCTCAAATGCCCACAGGTCCATGAAATGGAAATAAATTGCAGCAAACTGAGCCTTGAATGTGAAAACTAGTCTAGTATCCTGAGTGCCGTCTTATCAGGGCCCTTAAATTTAAGAATCATTTTAAGGACATAACTAGGGGGTGGTAGGAATCCCTCATAGCAACGCTTCAATAAACTGCCCATGCTCTGGAAAATATACATCTGGAATTTGAAAAAAAAAATATATATATAAATAAATAAATTAATAAATAAAAAGATAAAAAAGGCCAATGGAATATAGATTAAAATTTAAGACTCCAATACCTCACCAGTGTGGATAAGCACTTACGCTCCAGTAACTGTGTAATAATGGACGTGTCCTCCCTCCCTGCTTCTCCTGTCCTTATCTTCTCAAATACCTGCACATTGCCCAAGTTTCAATTTTCTGGGAGTTAGCGCTTCAGGTGCCTCTATAGTGTCTGGGCTTAGAGACTCAGGAGGAAGACAAATGACTCCTTTTTTCTTTTTTAATTGTTACTATAGACTATTACAGCCTGTCTGGATTATTGACTTTTTTCTTTCACAACAAGAGTAAGTCGAACGTGCACCCATGTGCAAAAATGTTCAGTGTGGTACAAGAATCAATTATGTGTTAGTGGAAAACATTTTATGAGTTTTATTATTTTTTGTTTTATTAATAATACCGTTCAAAAATCAGAAACCACCATTCATTTCCTGTCAAAATTGCCATTAATTAAATGTTATACATTTTCAGTGTTAGGAAAGAAAGCAGGAAAATATATTTAGTTGTCCACTATTTGCCTTTATTACAGCTTCCACTCTTTTCAGGAGACTTCAGGGAAATTTCTCCACACCTTCAAAGTTCAGTCTTAGAAGTTGCATTTTCTGGTTCTCACTATCCAATTAATGCCAAACACATTTGGTGATGTTGAGGTCTGGACTGGGGTGGTCAGTCCATTGTTCTGAGAGCACCAGCAGCTTCTTTGATTGATTTGCTTCCTTTTTGTCTATTTCCTTTTCTCAGTAACAGATTCTTGACAGCTACACGTCTTTTCAGACTCATAGTGTTGAGTTGTCTTCTCACAGTGGAAGGATGGACAGAAACACCTGTGGATTTTTTCAGATCTGAAGCAACAGTGGAGCTAGATTTTCTCTTCTGTCTCAAAGATGAAAGCTTTAAACACTGTTTATCTGGTGGTGACAGATTTGGTGGTCTGCCTGGTCTTGCACTGAATTATGAATAACTTACACTTAATGGCTGTTTCGACTGTAAATTAAATAAATGAAGGGTGGTCTCTGACTTTTACACACATTTAGTCATTTATTTAGCCTGAATACATAAAAGATGCAAGTCGAGGCTTGCTAGTTGCAAGCAGAGAAAGCTCTGTACTGATTGTGAAGCTGTTTGAAATATCTGGACTGAAATTCCTTTGTGTCTCGCATATTAAAACTCCCTTAAATGTGATGCGCAGACAGCTTTATGTGAAGCACTATTCGTTTTATGTCTCTGGTTTATACCAGATGACATTTTAATGCCCTCTGACCCAAATAGGCGAGAGAGAGAGAGAGAATTTTCAGAGTGCAGGACTTTTTTTTTTGACTTCACAGACAACATACGACAACTCAGACTAGGCAACAACATGAGCTTCTTTTATCAAACTCTTATGTCACTGAAGAAGCCTATTATAATCTTATTTATGTCTATATGCAATATATATTCTGCTCTGAACTACATAATAAGATTTCTCCATGAATTGACGCTAGTGCCAGTTATCAGTTGTATTTTTTGTCTGTTGCTCGCACACATCTTCTGAGACTTGAGGACAGATTCAGGTTAAGTATTTTGAATCAAGGACACTACTGGAGGGCTGCGTGGGGTAGGACTATTCGAAGATCCACAGTTCGTTATCGCACGCCGCTGGAATGCTCAACGTGCCACAGCTGTACTGCAACCTAGAAATAATTCTTCTTGGATCACCTCAAACAGACACACACACAAAACAGCCAGCATTCTAAGCCATAATCCACACCTTATGTGGGAGACACGCAGTCTTAAGATAAACACAGGCGGTAATGCTCAGTATATCATCCATGACAGGTTTGCAACTGTTGTGGCTCTTATTTGTCACCTCTCATCCCATTTAACCAAGTCCCTTGACACAAATGTTGTCTCTCATCTTTCTGCGGCTGCCTTGTTTTATTTAGATGTTTCAGCAATGTAAAATGGAAATTTGCATGCGTGCATTCGTATTGCATGCAGTCTGCTTCCGTAACTGTTTCATGCATTTAATTGGATGTACATCTCATATCTATTCACTTAATGAATGATGAGTGACTAACTGGGACATACATATGGGTCCTAATAACATGTAACATTACTAGGCCTAACTGCCTGACTGATATGAAGATTTATTTATTTATTATTATTATTCTTATTATTTTTTTTTTTTTTACAGGTACCGTAGCTGTTCAGAATCCTCAGTTTTTCTTTGTTCGTTTTAATTAGCTATTCTTTTAAACTTATTTTTGTTTTCACTGGTGCAAAATCGGGGTGGGGAGGAGTACATGACCCTCACACTTTTTGCAGTTGCAAATAATTTTGGCCAGTCGCATGATGATTGTCAAAAAAAAAAGTATATAGCTCATATTACTAATAACATGTTTTTGTAAATGACTCCCACACTCAAAATGACTCAAATCTCCCACACCAGTGATATTACCTTATCATTCATGTATCCACTCCAACAGACAAAGTCTACCATCTGCTGTTACCTCATACAACAACATATTTTTACCCATTTTTACCATTTAAATGATTTTCTGCTTCATTCAGATTGGCTGAGTTGCTAATCAGCTGCCAGATTTTTGCAAATATTCCTACACTTTTTAAAAGTCTAATTGAAACAGAAAATCAAAATGTATAGTTCTTTTATTTTGTTATAGTCAGTAATAAAAAAACAAAGAGAAGCACTAAACTTTTTAGCACACATTTACTGTACTATGATCATTTGTTGACTTATGCAACAACAGTTATCAATAATTCTTATTCTAGCTTAATTGTCATCACATGTATCATTACTGAGATATATTGCTAAAATATTTATCGCAACATGCAAATCAGACTGAAAGAGTATTTCAGTGACACTGAGGAGATGAGAAGGGAGCAAAACTGGCTTTGTAATAGGCTATAAAATTAACTTCCGTACAGAATGTGTATCAGAAAATACAAGACATTTTTATTCCTGTTAATGGTACTGTTTGTTTAGGTGTTAAAATATTGATGTATAAAGCATTAGACATCAAGACAGTGTGATTGCTCTAATGGAAGTGTTTAATTCCAAACTGCTGTATACAATCCTGTAACACTTTTGGATATAATGAGCTTTTGACAGAAAGAACGGCTGACATATAATAAAATATACTTTTATTTCTTTAATAAAGGAGGTACTAACCACAATATGGCATTGAAATTTCATGTATTTGTGAGGCCCTCCTCCAACAACATATATTATTAATCAAATGAAAGTGGTCTATAATGGCATTTGGAATGAAACTCTTCAATTATAGGTAAACTTTATTTACATCGCTGGATGTTGCCCCCACATAACAGACCACAACCTCCCCCCGGTAACATACCCTTCCCTGTATGTTATGCTGTAAAAGAAACGAACAGGTGGTGAATCTAAGCTTAATCTCTTGAAAAACTGGCATATGAAAGTTGCACATTGTCAGTCTCATGTGTCTTTCTGTTACAACGTAGAACTAGTCATTCATTATTGGCAGGGATTTTGCAGATGCTGACAAATTCATTGGATATCAGTTTCTGAAATGTGTTCTGCAGGGTATAGATGTGAGAAATAATCACATTTCTCTGTACGTGCATAGTCAGGAGGGAGATCAGGCTGAAGCAACTTAGCTATCGCCTACCAGAATCAAAGTCTATATGACTAAATGATCTCATTTTATCCTAACCTTTCCTGATGCAGTCTCTACCTGCCACTGTAAAAAATGTACGAAGATAATGCAAGAATGTAATATGAACAAAATCAGATAGCTTGAAAATTCATTTCATTAAAATTGATGGAGTGTCTCATGCTACTAGACTAATTGGTCATAAAATGGAATTAGCAGAAGAGGTTCTGCTATGTTGCACAGGGATAATGTTCGCTTGTTCTTTCCTGCAGATTCAGCCCATATGAGTGGTACGACGCCCACCCGTGTAACCCAAGCTCCGATGTGGTGGAGAACAACTTCACGCTCCTCAACAGCTTTTGGTTCGGTGTGGGCTCCCTCATGCAGCAAGGTAAAGTACTCTTCATACATCGGTCTCTCTCTCCAGCTACTCTGAGCCTGCTTATAACACCCCCTTCAAAAAAGAACTTCGGCTGACAGCAGTATGAGGTGGTGGCTGCTTCCAGTGAAACCCTTCCCCATCAAGAGCATGTGGAGTTCAGACTTCCATCACAGAAGAGAGATGTTGTCTTACTTTTTGGCAGTGCAGGGAGGAGGAAAGGTGTCAGACAGCTGTCACATGCTCTGACAGGTTGGAAGGATATCAGTATATTTTGTTTCTATGAAGTGCAGCTTCCGTCAGGGACCGTCTTCTCATGTTGTTGGCATGGAGCTGAGGTTCAGATCAAACTGCACAAAAGACTGTGACTCTGCCTTGCCATTATGCTGACACACAGCAGAGAAAACTTTCAAATCTGTCCCGTCTATTCATAGACACCCCCTCCCCCAAAAAAAGCAGGAAATACAACTCATTCAGCTGTTCTGCTCAAAGCGTAGAGATAGAACCCTCCCAACCTCTGAAAACGTGTTCTACTTTGCAGAGGTTTAGAAGCCATTACTTTTATTGTACTATACCATTGCAATGTAATTACTATTTAAATACATAGTAACTTGCACAATGGATTACATTTACATTTGATCTAAAATCTATCTGCAAACAATACAGCATGCACAGTGGCTACACTGATCATAATTTTTTATGGCCAGTTCCAATTTACACTTCTTTACAGCCAAACTGGCTGATGGCCAATTTTTGACCAATTTAATAGGCCTTCCTTTAACCCAAAGCTCACACTGTGTGGACTAAATGAACACATTAAACACACTAGCACACTAACACTACTTTCTATTAGCCAAAGTTACAACATAACACAATCTGCCCTTTAATCCTTTCAGGCCGGTGCAGAAATGCGGCTGTTCCTAATATTTAATCTACTCTTCTCCATTAATAGCATGATTTCTCAACACTGTTGTTGCATTTATTTGATATGAAAATAACATGAATCAACAAATAATTCATAATATAATTCATAGATTTCTATTTTGTTTGTCTCACAGATGTCTTTGAGAGCAACACATCAGCATTACACCACTGTTCTGATAAAACAACATAAACACTCTGAATGGCATTCTGAATTGACTTGTGCATTTACTTGATCACAGTGCATCCCACAATAAGGGAAGCCTTGTGCATCTTTTATACAGTGATAGCACACAGAAAGCTCTGATGCTACATGATCATGGATGTTACAGTGGTCAAACACGAATGTATGTGCTGTTACTCCTCTGGCAGCAGATTTAAATGGGTTCTCAGAATTGAACGCCAACTCAATTCGATAGGCTTAATGGGCCAAACTGGCATTTTAAATTCATAAAAGAAAAACCACTGGCCTATTTATATGACATGAATCAAATAAAGTGCTTCATTGAAAGTAAGAGGCAGTTGGCTATTTAGAACAATGAGTCATGCATAATTGTGGTACGATGTTGTGGTACAGCTGTATAAGCAGCATTCAAATATAGCACCACTGGACTTACTTACTTACTTATTTACATCATAAAATCGCGACACAGCTGGGCCAAAATAAAAAGATCAAACAAGCCAATTGCCGATCACATGTTAGGAGCAAAAATTTTCCGATTCCAATCTTGGTCCAAATCTGATTGTGTATCTGTTATTGAAAGTTTAGAATCCTTAGTTCTGGCAGAATTTCTTTGTTGTGCTGAGTTTTGAGTGAGAAATAATTAATAATATATTATAATAAGTAGTTCCATGCTTTCATCACCAGCAGCAATAAATGTGATTTCTTAGGACCAACAACGATCATAGATCATTAGTATCATTCGTTTCTTATTTCTCATAGCTTATTATAGGCAGGTTTTCCATGTTAAACTTGGTACCAAAATGTCCACACTTTTCCTTTAACTCTGTATGCAGTCATTACTCTCTGCCTCTCCAAACATATTTGCCTGAATACCATTTAAATTCTTTTCTTTTCCCTCTGCAGTCTCACAAAATTAGTGGAAGAGAGAAGCTATTAGAGACACACAAGCCTGATGCTGTTGTTCCCCATACCCCTCACGGGCACACATTAGCAAATGATGCCCCCAAAACGAAGCAGGCATAATAAAGTAGGCAGGGGAGATAGAACGAGTAATGAAATGCTTAAGCTCATGTAAAGTGATGAACGGAGACTTCTCTGTGGTGAATCTCTGCCTGTGAGGATTGCAAATGTGAGACGCAATTCACTATGAGTGCCTTACTACTCTGCCCCCAAAATGCCTGGAATTCCTATCAATTTACCACTGTTCACAGACACAAGTAGTTCATAAGTAGCGCAGTCTTATGGAAAGCGTAGAGGCGAAGTCAATAAGAAACACCCACATATTTCAGATATTTCAGAGCCCTCTGTGTTTCAAATCTCTCTGCTTCCTGGCAGCCCTGCTTATTGGGTTCTAGCAGCCAGCAAGCATCACCTCCTCACTTCTTTTACCACATCTACCCCAGTTTTCTTGTTGATGTTGCTGCTGCTTCGGCGCCCATTGTTCTCTTAAACATGGTATCAATTTAAGTGGTTCCCTTTAAACCTGACTTTACCAGGAAATAGGAGTGTTCTATGAAATGAATTGAGAGTATTCCTGGTATAGTATATGGGTTGTTTTTTTTTTTCCAGCAGCTCCCTCTTTATTTATTTATTTAAATGCTTGCCTCCAAATATGGTATGGCAGTGTGCAGCGGTGTCATTTTGTGAAAATGCAAATAATGGTGGTTTTTGAGTAGAGTATGACACGGGCAGTTTGTGTCTAATCTTTCATCTTGATGGAAGACATCTAGCTCATGTGAGGATTAAGAGGATGAAAAGGCACAGAAGCTTATTTTTAAACACAACACTTTCAGTATAGACAACCATGTATTGAACGATTGAATGGTGAAAACCTGTTCACACCCTCTTATTTAGCTACATTATTGTGTAAATGTATTTGTATATACTGAAAATAAAAACAGATGCTTTTATATGTAGGGGTGGGCAATGTGACAGTATGTTATTATTGTGATAATTTGCATCACAGCACACTTTTCTGAGTATATATATATATATATATATATATATATATATATATATATATATATATAAATAGTATGGTATAACATAATATGTAATGTCAATAAAAAAAGTTGGTTCTTCAATGGTTTTTCATAGAACCACGAACACTCAAAGAACAGTTTGCATGCTTAAATGGTTCTCTGAATGTTGAAAAGATTTTTCAGATCGATGGAGAATCTGTTGTATATGGTTCTATATAGCACCAAAAAGGTTGTTCTGTTGTTAGAAGCTTGACTTTATAACAAAAACACAGCATAGTAACACAAATAACTGGACATTTTGTCCTTTCCATCTTGATTGCAAACCTTTAAAAACCAAAATTTCATGATACGGTGGATATCATCATCATCTTTATCCACTGCAACCAGGACCCTGTCTGGATTAAGCAGTTATTGCAATAAATGCTGATATATATTAATTGAGATAGTAAGAAGCTAAATTACAAAATCATCATTTGTAGTGGGGGCTGCAATCATCTGTTTGTTACCATGCAGTTTATGCAGTCACACTGGATGTTGTTTAAAGGCTAACTGGTCCAAATCTAAGTCTTTTTTTATAAATGCAGTGTTGTAGAAGTACTGATAACACCATGATATACACAGAAAGGCAGATTGTGACATAATTCATCACAATAACAATGACACGTTGCCAACCCCATACATAAATGTCTTTGTTTTTATTTTCAGCATAAACAGTACACATTTACACAATTGTACACACGTGTGTGTGGGACTTTAATTGCCAGTCTGTTGTTTTGTTTATTTTGTGTTTGTCTATCATTTTTCCCTTTCTCTGTGTGAGTGATAGGAGTAAGTGTTAACCATAGCTGATGATTCTCAAGGGGTCTTCATAATGCTATGCTGATGCCTCTTGGCTCGTGGATAAAAATGATAGAAAAACAGGGCACTGCGTTTAATACCACTCCCTCCAGCCCCTCAGAGAGTCGTTCCCAGCCGGGTGCCGATTAGCAACTTACCTCCCCTACTTTTTTATGGAAATGAGCAGATGTTTAGATTCAGCATTACAGCAGTAAATCTGGCAGCCGGTACTGTGCTATTGTGTCTTTACATCAGCACTTTTTTTTTCTTGCAGCCTAGTTGTACACAGAAATGTGTTGAGGAAAAAAAAATAGCGAGTATATGTTTGTATTTTCACTACTTGAAGGACATTAGTCTTTCCTTTGGGCTTGCAGGGTGTGCATAAATTTGCTGCAGGCCAATAAGTGCAGTGGATGATGTTCTCTTTGAGTGCTGCATGTTCTCAGCTAATAAAAGGCAGAAGCTTTTAATGGAAATGGTGGAGTTCAAGAGTAGCATTGGGAGCACATGAACATGTCACGTGGAAACACATTGCATACAACATTTCGTTAATGGAAATAGAATATAGTGTAGTCTGCCATCTAATGATTTAAAATCAGCTTAGGAGAATTGTCTTTTGTACTGAGGTTATTTGGTTCTAAATTGTTAATATTTTTTTATTAAGAAATATGTATAGCTAAAAAAGGGATGTATAGATAATTGTAATTGGTCCATATATTATCGCATTGTTTTTCCAAGTTTGATGAAAATGCAGAGTTACTACATTAGCATTTCAGTTTGGAAGTCTTCCTCTTGCCGTCCCTCTGCTCAGTACTGCATTGAAAACTCCATTAGTCATACAGTCAATTAAAGGCATTTTATAAAATTTTATTTGCACATCCAACTATTCTTTCTTGCCAGATTCTCCAAAATGTCTTATTGATTTTTCCTGCATTCTTTTGGCATGAGCAAGTTAAAACAAATATGCAACATCCATCTCCTGGCACTTAATTTAAGGCCCTCATACTGGCTGTGTTTCAATGCTTGACAGCACTTTTAAATCAGGGTTGTGGTCTGCTGCTGTTATTGCTGTACTTGAAAGTGGGTGCACAAGATCATAATCAACTATTGATTCCATCTTAGGTTCTGAGCTGATGCCCAAAGCTCTCTCCACACGGATCATAGGAGGAATCTGGTGGTTCTTCACCTTGATCATCATCTCCTCCTACACAGCCAACCTGGCCGCCTTCCTCACTGTGGAGAGGATGGACTCACCCGTCGACTCGGCCGACGACCTGGCCAAGCAGACCAAGATCGAGTACGGCGTGGTAAAAGATGGAGCTACTATGTCATTCTTCAAGGTAGAATGTCCTCTCCACTTACATTTGAAATGTGTTTCAGTACAGATGAAAAGCAGAAAGAGGTCTTGGGAAGTTCAGTAAATGTCATGAGCCTATATTGATGCTAGCATTAACACTGTGTTGATGGATGCTTACCGATGGGTTGCATTTCACTGCACAGAGTTGAAGAACAGCAGGGTGGTAACAAAGGGATTTTTTGAATCACAACTTGAGCCAACTTTTCAAAAACACGAACTTTTTTTTTTCCTTCTCGTGCTGAGCAAGAAAGGAAAAAATCAATACAATTCCACAAAAGACTTTTTTTTCAAGCTCCTTTTTTCCATTTCTAGTTAGATCATAATTCCCACTGCAAAGGCAAATTCTTCAGCTCCTCCACTTTTGTAGACTGTTTGAAGTTTTCCTCCATAATGATTTTTTTTCCTTGTAGCAAAGTTTGATCTTTTCCCTATAGGATTTTACATGTTATTTATTTTATTATTTTGAACTTTTACTCTGATGCTTTAGCAGAAATGCCAGAAATTTCCTAATAAATGGTGCAAATCCATGTAGTGCTTAGACGGGTGATTACATATGTATAAATTCAGTCAGAATATGGTTCTCTGGTTTTTGCTGCCTGGAAACTGTCATGTTTGGTTTTTGTTTTTTTGGATTTTTTGGGTTTTTTTCCCCTTCATATGCTTTCTCATAACCCTGTTTTGTAGCGTACCTCAGCATTTCTGAATGATTCATGTTAAGGAACTGACTGTTTTCAGCTGTGAGCCAATCTAAAAATACTGAGACACCTCAGTCATAGCTCACCTTTCAAAAGGAAATTGGATGTATGGCTATGAGAGATTTAAATGGAGCTTTATATGTCTGTACAAACCGTTTGTGCCCACTCCATCACATTCTATTCTCAGTCCAATCAAGTAAAACATTACATTTCTTGGAGTGTATTGCATGATTGCAGTATCAAAAAACAAGATTAGAGAGACAGGTGTTTGCAATTAAACCATCACTGCTGTCAGCAAGGAGAGGAGTAACGAGCTTGACTGGGGCAGACGAGTTAAAGGAACGCAGTCAAAAACTTCAGCCACGAAAAGTCTCTGAGAACTGAATTGAAGATCATCTTACCTAACCTGAAACATGAAATGTTAATTTAACATTTTATTGAGTGTAATCAAAGAGCACTCACACTCTGTAATTCTCTTGTGTGAATTCAGATGCTTGATGGAATTGAGCCAGTAATTATCTGTGATTAGCTATGGTAGCTAACGTGACCTCCTTGTAGAATAGCATGAAATGCCATTTAAACTCACTGCAAATCAAGTAGGGCTCTATTAATCCAACACAGCGTAGCCTTTTTTCCCAGATTAGAGATGTTGCTTTTTCTTTTTTCTTTTTTTTCCTTTCTTTTTTTTCCTCATTCTTCATTCCTGCTTTTCACCATGTTATTATATGCAGTAAGCCAAGCACAGCAATGGTGAGAATAGATTATGAATACATTAATATAAAGGGAAAAAAAGAAGCTGCTTGAATCAGTGTCAGTGGTTTGTTCTATTGCTTATTCATTCTTAAGGAGTCCAAGGCTCAAGCCAATTCCCAGCCACTTTCAATTATAGTGTGAGACACCAGGGAAAACAGCATTTGAGGGAGGGAAAGAATAACAGGTGCTCAAGGTTAACAGAACAATGTCAACAACAGCACTGCCTAGTGCTGAGTTTGAAAATCTCACAGTAATGGAGCCAAAGCCCAGGAGAAACTAAATGCTCATTTGATTCGTGTGTGTGAATGTGTGTGTCTGTATGTGTGTGTATGTTTGTGTGTGTGTGTGTGTGTGTGTGTGTGTGTGTGTGTGTGTGTGTGTGTGTATGTGTGCATGCATTATTAATTACACACCATCTGCACTTATTACTCATTTGTATAAGGATGTTTGCATTGTTGCAAATATGTAAATGTTAATGTACCGATAGTGACGTTGTTGCACGATTCACTTCTTGGTTGGCTGTTTGCACCTTTTTTTTCCCTACATTTTAGTTGTATTCATTACTTAATTTACAAGCCCTTTTACAGTCCTACACAAGGGCATAACTTTTTAAACAAGCATACGATTTTTGAAACAGCTTTTAAAAATATGCAAAAATACGACTAATCTCACCACAATAATTCCAACCTTTTCAATAGCTTTAGTGGTTGGTCTACAACCCTATTTCCGAAAAAGTTGGGGTGCAAAATGTTAATAAAAACAGAATGAAATTATGTGCAAATCATTTAAACCCTACATTTAATTGAAAACAAATCAAATGTTGGAACTGTTCATTGTTTTTTTTGTTTTTTTAATATATTTCCAAAGAATTTCAAATTCTGATTCGTCGTATCACAGGACACTCTTCCACTTCGCTTAAGTCCATCTTAAATGAGCTCAGGCCCAGAGAAGGCGGTGGCATTTCTGAATCCTGTTTATGTATAGTTTCGTCTTTGCATGGTAGAGTTTTAGTTTACATTTGTGGATGCAGTGGCGAACTGTGTTTACAGACAGTGGTTTTCAGAAGTGATTCTGATTCTGACTTAGACAGTTAGCCATCAGGCAGTTACTTACTGTGACCTCAAAGTAAAACCTAATATCTTGCAATGTGTGCCTTCTCCAACTCCTCTATTAGGAAAAATATATTACAGCCAGTCAGATCAGCTAGATTTAACTAAGTGAAATGAATGAATGAATGAAATGAAAGAAATGATGAACGAATGAATCTTTTAGCCAACTGTGTCTGAACACATCGGAATTAGACCTCCGCATTTAACCCATCCATGCAGTGAAACACCACATACACACTAGTGAACACACACACACTAGGGGGCAGTGAGCGCACTTGCCCAGGGCGGTGGGCAGCCCTATCCACGGCACCCAGGGAACAGTTGGGGGTTGGGTGCCTTGCTCAAGGGCACTTCAGTCATGTACTGTCAGCTGAGGGGATGGAACCGGCAACCTTCTGGTCACAAGGCTGGTTCCCTAACCTCCAGCCTACGACTGCCCCGTCTAAGTGCTACCACAACCACAGATAATGTCTGTATAAGCTCAGACATTACCACATTTTTAGCACTGGGGAGGGGGCAACAAAATGGTTCATAATTCATAATCAATATTCATTATAACTGAGTTAGTAATACATATAAATGTATTTATAGTAGCATTTATTATATCAGTAAACTCAATATTTTTGTCATGTTTTATTGCCACATAATAATTATTGAAATTAATTATTGGGAGGGGTGTTAAACGACCAAGTCATTATTGGAAGGGCTTTAACCCTTTCTTCCCCTCTAGAAATTATGCCATGGTACTACACTGTTTCTCTCAATGCAGAAGGGCAAACCTTGACCCTTCTCTGACCCTTCCTCCAGCATTTTTAGTTTCCTCTCAAAGTATTTAAACACTTTACACATCAGTAAACATGAAAAAGGTTTTTTAGGATAAAATCTGTAACAAAATGATATTCATTTTAGGGAAAAACACTTTTACATTATCAATCTTATGGAAGTCTTTGTGTGAAGAAAGCCTGAAGACTAATTACATCCAGACTGCATTAAGAGTACGGTAAAGCATAGAGGTGGAAACCTCAAAGTCTGGGGCTGTTTTTGTTATGATCTCGTTGGTGAGCCTTTGTTCACTGTTGTGATAATGAACTCAGAAGTGTACAAAGGAATTGGAAAGACATTGTTCAAATGGCAATAATGTGAAACACACCAGCCAATTTTTGAAAGAATACTCCACTAAAGAAAATTACAATCTTGAAACAATCTGTTTAAAATAAACATCACTTGGTTTGATATTTTATTTCTTAACACAACAAACTACATTTTAAATATGGCACAAATGTCCAGATACTTTTTAGGGCCACTGTATGTGTGAATCTGTAACAAGTATTGGCCAAGCACACAGCTGTGCAGTCTACAGCATGTCTGGTACAGCTGGTACAGCGCATTGCATAGTGACAGGGAAGACAAGAAGATGGGACAGTGGCCAATAGTTTCCTCTGAGACCCAAATGCCAAATGGTGCCAGATGATTTTTTTCCTTTCCAGAAATCCAGGGTATCAACATTTGAGAAGATGTGGGCCTTCATGAGCAGCAAACAGAGTACATCGCTCGTCAAGTCAATTGAAGATGGTATCCAAAGGGTCCTGAAGTCTGACTATGCCTTGCTTATGGAGTCTACTACCATTGAATATGTGACTCGCAGGAACTGTAACCTAACCCAAGTTGGAGGCATTATTGACAGCAAGGGCTACGGCATTGGCACCCCCAAAGGTAACACTGCACATAACATATCGACACTTACAGCAATCACTCCTGTCCTACAGATCAGTAGGTCTTCCTGGTATAACATGGCCCTTCAAATATGAATTGACCTGACCCAGCACCACCTTTATTAGTTATTGCTGTAGTGTTGCTCTATTATTAAATAATTACATATTAATTACATTGTTACATAATAAATTACATTTACAATTGATGCATTTATATTCAGTTTTAGCAGATTTAAGTCTGCACTTCTGTCTTTTGCTTTTGTTTTGATGTTGAACATCTTTCACTGAGCAGAAAAATGTGATTCAGGCTGCGCACAATGTTGACACATAACTCATTAATCATTGGACTTAACACAATATGTATGTTTATCGCAACTTTGTCCCCCAGGCTCTCCATACAGGGACAAAGTGACCATAGCCATCTTGAGCTTGCTGGAGGATGGGCGGCTGCACGTGCTGAAAGAGAAGTGGTGGAGCGGAAGCAGCTGTCAGGAAGACGAGCGTTACGAAGCAGGCCCAATGGGCATCCAGAACCTGGGTGGCATCTTCATCGTGCTGGCTTCAGGCCTGGTGCTCTCCGTCTTTGTGGCTATAGGGGAGTTCATCTACAAGCTTCGGAAGACAGCAGAGCGTGAACAGGTGAGTCACGATTCAAAGAGAGGTTGTGGCTATTTTTTGTGACTTGGACTCGAAATTCCTTTGGCTTCTCCAGGTGATTTTAGTATGCATGAAACAAAAAGCATTAGGGAGCTGGGTAAGGCAGTGCGGGTCAGCGGGATGGCGGGGACTCATGCATAAACAGCAAGTTTTGAAAGTTTTTATTTTCAAAACATTGAAATGGAATGAATAACAGGATATGATGAAAACAGAAACACATGAGGTGATATCCCATTTTACTGATAAAAATAAAGGTGATGCCAAAGTAACATTTTTGGTTCTCTAAAGAACCTTCTTTAAAGAACCATTTTTGTAAATGAGATGTTTAAGTGTCAAAAACATTTTTAAAGCTTAATGAACCTCCACATAAAGTAGATAATAAGGAGTTTGCCTAGCTTTTGTCTTCACAATAGCATCATTATTTGTTGGAATACTGAACATTTGTTGGAATATTACTACACGCATTTTGAATAATTCATACCAGCTGAATTCATGTCATCATGTTTAACAGTTGGAAACAGGCAGTGCTGGCAACATCAACCAAAAAGAGCTTTTCAAATATACAGTTCTGACAGAAAATTGTCAAAGTCAGTGGTGCATCATGATTTCACAATGGTATATTTGTAAAGAGTTTTATTATTTGAATTTGATGATTTATAATGACAGACCACTCAAGTATCAGCTGTCTGGAAAAAAACACAGAAATGCACCATCAAAATGTGTGAATATAGCCTGTAGCTTCATGATTCAATGATTAATTGGTTCCATTGTAGATGTATTGTATTAGCAATGGGACAAGCTGTTCAGTAATTCTCTATAGCTGGAGCAGGAGGTTCTGTTCTTTTCATGTTGAAAGTAGCAGGTCTAGGCATTATAAATCTCTGTTATGGTGGTTTTGTTCTAACATTGTATAGAATTGTGTACTCATACCAACACTTATACTGACATTGTAGATGTTAATATGAAAGATAAAATTAATTAAAACATTAATGTGGATGATAACAGATCAAATTAAATAGGTTAATGAGCTTTGTTGTAGAAAATAAACATAGCATCCCCTGCAATTTCTATCTAATTAATGCATCATTATAACAGCAAATCTATTTATACAGCAGTGAGGTGATTTTAAAGTCATCTGCTGAAGTGTTACCTAATGGCATCGCTATCATCTCCGTGAACTATTTGCTGGTGTTTATCTATCCTTGTCACTATTTTTTTTAAATTGTCCATACCTTATCTTAGGTAGTTTTTTCTGATTTCAGGATTTTTGACACTGCTCCTTTAAGACAAAATGTTTTCTGTGCCTTTACCTGAAACACCTGCACTTCACACAAGAAACATGTTAGTAATTTACATTTCTGAACTTTATATATAGACTCCTTTTCCATTTTTTGCCATTTTCATTTACTAAACCATATCTAAGCCAAAGGTACCACAGATTCAAAACATTTGCCATCTAGCATACAGAGCCTACAGACACACATGGAGTTGTACTTTATATGGCATATGCGTGTGGGCTGTTTTAGTATAATAATCCTCATTACACACAAGAACTCACAATATTAACCATCACTCCAGTGATAAAGTAGCATTAAAGAGATTGAAAATCATGAGAAAATTCATGATAAAGCTAAATGTCCCATATCCTACTTTTTCTTGTATTTTAATTTCTCCCAGAAGACCAATGATGAAATTTGTGTGTTTTTATGTACTAGAAACAGTAAGAATTCAGTTTTACACGATCATTTTCCAACCTTGTTTTATCTGTTTTAATTAAAACAGGCTGTTTTTGTTACTGTGCCTTTAAGACCTACATTTATGTTTTGACTGGATGTCCTACATTGTGCCTCATTCAAAAACAGTCCAAGCAGAAACACTCCTTTTAACTTCACAGAGAATGGGAGGAGCTAAACTGCTATAGGCAGAATGAACAGATATATGTAAATATGCTGGTTTTTGGGCTATCACAAAAACAGTGAATTCAGTACAGGCTGATTTTTGCAACTTAGCTTCCATATATAGAATTTACGGACTGGGGAGAGAATCGAATGTTTTGAAAATTTAACACTGTTTATATATTACATCAAACTCTTATCCTAAAAAGTGAGGAAAACCTTCAGGGTTTTACTGGTAATTATAGTTTAAGATCAGAGGGTCATTTTCCTTGGATGTTGTTGACAAATTACACTTGTAGAGAGATCTAACTTTGTTTGAATGCACAAAATAAATTACAGCCTATTTCATGAACTAAGCTTAAAAAAATTGCAGCCTGCTCCATGAGCCAAGAGTAAGATTCCCCATATTGAAAGTGCTTACGTCACAGCTGATATGGGAAGCGTTTGGAAACATCTTGTAGGAAAACATTGTGATTATTGCTGTGTGCAATTCCTACATTTATTGTGTTTAAGCAGATGATTACTAATTAGAGCATGGAAAACGAATCCCCTGTTAGTCATAGCAGATGTCAGAAAGGAACACGGAGGAGTTGTGCATTTGCCAATTATTATTAGACAAAAGGGTTGCACTGGACATGGCCTTAAAGGTAATAGGGTAGAGCTTAAAAAATGGCTAGAAAAATCATTTACCATGGTGTCATGCCCAGTTAACCTCAATTCATGTTTCTCCCACTCCCCACAGTTAGCGCATTGAGAGTCTGGCCGTCACACTGATTGGACATGGGTGTACTTACTTCCTCTTTTGCTTTCTCCCTACCCCACCATGTGTCTTTTTTTCCCTCAAGAGGTCTTTCTGCAGTGCGGTGGTGGAAGAGATCAGACTGTCGTTCACGTGCGAGAGAAGGGTGAAGCACAGGCGCCACCACCAGCCGCCGGCCATGGTGAAGACGGACGCCGTGATCAACATGCACACCTTCAACGACCGTCGCCTGCCGGGAAAGGACAACATGAGCTGCAACACCGCGATGACGCCCGTGTTTCCATGACCTGCCTGGGGGACGGTCACCTGAGGCACGTTCCCGGCGCCGCACCCGACAGCAGGGACTATGGCTCCGAGATGATCACGGCATTCACCATCAACCGCAGAGACATTCGCAACCAAACGGCAAACCAGAACGGCGGCAGTAGCAGCAACCCAGGTAACGACCACATCCTCAAGCCAATGTACCCCACCATGCCACTGAGGGAGGGAGGCCGCTCTGTGTCCTTCCTGTGAGAGAGAGCCAGCCACAAGGCCAGTGCTGTCCGGCCCTGCGTCTGATGTTTATGTATGAAACACAAACACATGTTCACCATCTGTTCTCTGGAAATCGAAGGAGTATTCCTCTCCTCCATCCCCCCACCCCGCCCTCGCCCACGCCGTCCCCCATACTGAGAAAAAAGACAAGCATCTCGTTGGAACAAATGAAATAAGAGAGAAAAGAGGCTTCTTTGAAGCATGGCAATAAACGAACTACAGACTGACACAAGGGGTGTAGTTTTTTTCCTAGAGTATCATTTATAGCACATTCAATTCATTTTGGAAATTCAGTGCTTTGACTATTTTTATTTGGATTCTGTCAAAAATGCTGAGGGCCTTTGGCACTATTGGCAAGGGAACAGTTCTATGGGAGCTACATTGCAGGCATGCTTTGGACCTTAATGAATGATTTAATTTGGGTTGGTAGACTTGGCAACTGGTAATATCTGCAGTTAGTGACAGTGTGCGCAGCTCTAGATCTGCGACTTCCAAGGAGACTACAGAGAAATGTGGCGTCCTCCCTGGTTCACAGATTGAATGCACAAAACAAACAGGGTTGACATAACTCAAGCTAACAAAGCATATTGCCATTTAAACAAGCAGACTTGTTTTTCCTCCCTGAAATTAATAACGGTTCTGTATGTTGTGCCGTGTCTTATCATAGTGCCAAGACTAAAATTCAATTTGTTTGTGCTCTACATTGTACGTTGCCGCCAGATGTTTTGTACACATTAAATGATAATGAGATGACTGATTAACACAATAATTGCCAAAGATCTGTCCACAAAACAAGTTAGATATCTGAATACACCATCCACTCTGAAATTGCAGAGGATAAGACTGATGCAGTGGCGCTTGGAAAACCGCTTATTGTGCAAATACACATACAAAGTTCACATACTTCACGTTACTGCATAGCATTCTACTTTTGCTAAGATTGTACTAATGTCATAGAACTTTCCAGGTTTAGCATATTTCAGGAAGTAAATACATGTTTTATTACCATATGTGTTTTAGCGAGAAACAGACGCATTCTACATAAACAGTTGCCCCCTCCCCCTTTCAAGGGGCTACAAAAGCATTTATACTGATACATAAAACATATAATTAGGTATGTGCCTAATGTGGTATATTGGAATATATTCAGTATGGCCTTGGTTATTTGGTCAGTAGAGTCTGAAATTAGCACAGTATGTACCCATGCTTTTACTTGCATTTCAGTTTCTTTCCATCTATTTCTGTACTCATCACCTGGGTCCTTGAGTGAAGAGACTTGCAAAGTGGATGAAAAAGAAGACATGAGTGGTCCTTGTGTTATCATTTACATGACTTACATTTTTAGGACCGGAAAGCATTATATGCTACATTTCTGCCATCAGTCTGAATATGTCATATCTTAACATTACTTCCTCTTGTGATGTTCTAATCTTCACGTAACCCCAAAAATCCATTTGATGTAACATTATTTACATATGCTATCCAGTAGTTTGGTGAAGCGCTTATTTATGGAGCGTACTTCTAATAATATTTGTATTGCCGTCAGTTACATGTTGTCTGTAGGTAATCAGACAGTGACACAGTTTTCTTGTTTTGGCTCTGTATTCCAGGACACTGGATTTGAAATGATACAGTGACTATGAGGTTAAAGTACAGAATTTCAGCCTGAACTCAAAGACAGATGAAGAATTAACAAAAAACCTAAATGAAATTGTCACTTGGTTGCAAATCCTTTACAATCGAAGATTCATAGACATGACCAGGCAATGGATATCTTCCCTGGTGATTCTCTGCCAGGTCTGTAATGCAACCCAATTCAGTTCCTGCTCACTTGAGGGAGTTTCAGCCTTCAATCCAGTCTTCAATAAGTGAAATTACTTGGCCAGTGTAGAAAATTCCACTTTTTATCTCTGAAAAACTCCACAGTTGCTTTAGTAGCATGTTTTGCATTATTGTCCTGCTGCAAGGTGGGTAAAGCACCATGTTTTAAGACATGTGGTTGGATCGGTTCAATTAAAATGCTTCTGTACACTTCAGAATTCGCTGTGCTGCTGTCATCAGCAGTCAATAATAAAGCCAGGTGAGCCAGTTCCATTGTCAGCCATACATGCCCATGCCACAGTGTTTCCATTTTTTATCCATGCTTTCGTTTTTTCATTACATCTTCACATCTGTCCGAAAGAATTTGTCCCTGAACTCCTTTTTAGTTTGTCCACTGAAGTCCTTTTTAGTTTGGCTTTTTATGTTTGAGACCAGCAGTTTGCATCATGCTGGGTATTCTTCACTTCATAGTACTCTGTGACATCTCTGCCTGCATTCTGAATAGGGTTGTTTATCTATTCAGTACTATGTGTTCATGTCATCCAGTGCACCGAGTTACTTTTGACACACCTAATGTTTTGAATATATCTGACTGACCTATTCTAATTCTTTCAGCCTCATAATGACCTGCTGTACTTGCACTAACACTTCTTTGGTCCTCATGTTGAGTGACAATAGCAACAGACCCCAGATCTTGAATCAGCTCTAGGCCTTTCGCTAGCTGTCTTGAACATGATGCAACTTGATGCTAATGATGCAACAGCTCAAGAAATAATTGAGCACTTATCCCCTAAAATGGGGAGGCAATGTGTAAAAAAGCTGTGATTTTATAAGGTTCATTCAGTATACAGTGCTGTGCAAAAGTCAGAGACTAGTCTTCATTACTTTTTGATTTCCAGTCAAAACAGCAAAAAGAGCAAGTTTTCATTTTCAGGAAATATGTCTGAATAAATTGGGTTCACTTGCATGAGAAAAGGGAAAGTCAAAGGAAAATAAGTGGAAATAAACAAATCTTCCAAAGCTGGAGTTCAGATGGGATCACGAGAAGCAGAAAATGCAACCAACTTCTCAGTCTGAACTTTGGAGGTGTGATAAAATGGAAAAGAATGGAAGCTGTAATAAAGGCAAAGTGTGGACACGTCATTGAAAAAAAAAGCTATTATATTTAGTTGAGTGCGGGTTCTGTGCGTCTTTTTTTTTTTCCTAGTGCTAAAAAAAAAGGTCATGACCATTTTGACTGGCAAATAAATGACGGGTGGTCTCTTACATTTGTACAGCACTGTAGCTGTGATAACTAAATTAAAGTGAACATTCTGCACTTTAACCTCAATCATTATTTCACCTAAAATAAAATGTGCTGGAGTTCGGCCGACACAAATACTGTGCTGCTGTCCAGTTACTTAAGGCATTCCCACAATGACAACAGTGTCCCTACATTCATTGTGTGTTGACGCATTTGCGTGCATGTGTGCATGCATGCATGCCCGGTGTTTCAGTTCATTTCATCTGGCCAAAATTCTGCTAAATGTCCTTGGTTTTTGCACAGCCTTTAGCTTATTCATTTTTGCAGGTGTGAGCTAAAAGCTTTGGGGAACAGCTAGGCTTTTAGCTTTGCTTTATCTGAGGACATGCTGCAGTCTGCCAGGATGCCCACTGAAAGTACCTGTCTGAGAGTCCTGCACAGACTTGAGATTTGCCATTTCGGGTTCTGTCAGAAACAAGGCGAAAAATAGGGACTAGTATTCGTAGGACAAAGTCAGAGCGAGAAATGGATGAGGGACCCTCTTTTTTTGATCCAAGCTTATTTCCCTTAGACAATGAGCAGAATTAAGCGGCAGTTCCCATAGACTGCATTAGGCTAGGCTCCGTGTCAAAGGTTTCCTTAGTTTGTTGTGTAGATGTGACAAACAATACAAATGAGCAGTGTTAGCATTATGAGACGTAGGTGCTAAGAGTCTTCACTTGCTGCCTTTTCAGGCAGCACAAGAGACTGCATACCTCTGTGAGGTAAATATAAAGGACAGTGCTGAAAACACTTTGCGTTCTTTTTATTGCAGATAATGTACTGATCAAAATGACTCCAATTCATGTGATTTGGTGTTGACTCGGTGAAAGCTCATTGTGTTTAGTGTCATTTAAATTCTGTGTAATTTTAACACCCTCTTGCAAAGTAGACTATATATTAGATGAAAAGGAAAATTACTGTATTTTGCTAAATACTGATTTTTACCTGTAAATCTTTATTCCCAGCACCATTCCTCTTTATAATCTGACAAATGCTGTATCAGAAATTGTACAAGCGTTTTGTAGTATAGGATCTGTTCTATGGCTATACATGAGATGGATTTAGAGGACACTGATACTATCTCTAAATCTCATTACCCGAGAAACCAATTCATTAACAGCAGGGGTTGATATCAGTACCAAGTGAAAGGAAACAGTTTGATGTATGTACTCCCCTTTTTAAATAAAAAACTAATGTATTCATATCAAGTGTATGTAAATAAAGAATAGTATTTGATTCTCCGAGCAGTAGCTGTGATTGCTTTAGAGGAAGGTATGATTTATCATGATTTCTCTCACTCTCCTTCAGCACCTGGCTCTTTGGATCAGCATCAATTTATGTTGCACAGACTTTCAAAATGTTTGGTTCAAAACGAGATTACAAAGTGAGACGATGCCTTTATTTGAACATATCCCTGTACTGAAATCCACAAGTAACAGACTGGATACCAAACATCATTCAACAAATAAATTTGGTAAAAATAGACTAAACCTTTCTTTACACTTAAAGTCAACAGATATTGTGGTACAATGAGTATTTTGCAATTTTTGTAAGATATAATCGTAATTATCCTTACACTGTGACAAATCAGTTTCATTACTTTACATTGCCAGAGTGTGAAGACCACATTGACCACATGTTTCTGTATACTTTATGAATCAAATATTATAAATGATCACTTTTTTTCTGTACTGATTGCAACTTAACATAGAAAATTTAGTTTGGGTATTTGAATCAGTCCTATTTATGGAGCATAAACCTCTATTTTATAAAAGAATGAATAAGCAATGTGAATAATGTTGTTTTGCAAAATTATATGAAACAAAAAATAAAACAAACTTTTACAGAATGTGTGATCCATTAATATTTTTCGTTTGAGAATGGTTATGTCTCCTTTATTTGACCCTTTTTGGAGGGTGGGGGGGGGTTGGGGTGTTGCACTTGATCACTAAGCAGAAAACATGTATAATCAAACAGCTGATCTCATGGTGCCACCCAGGGTTTATTTGTGGAGATGA